GCAGATAAGAAAATGGAGAATCCAACTCATCCCTCGCAATAGAATTTGGGGTTGGTCATTCGAAAATTTCAATGATTTTCAAAAACAAGAACCAGATTAAGGAATCGTTCTACTCAAATGTTTTGAATAGAATGATTTTGAATCAAAGAGGCATCGAAAATCGTGACAGGAAAATGTTGATGAAGCGTTAATTTAGTGGTTTAAAATCACAAGAAACAACAGAATACCCGTCAGCGGCCCTATATTACAGGGAAAGGCAAATGTTTTTACCGCGCGTTTAGGTATTCTTGATGAAGATTACTGATTTCTTATGTAAAAAATGAAAAAAAAAAAAATACATTAAATATATACTTATTACATACAATTTTTATTTTTATTTATCTCTATTTTGTTTCTCCCTAATTAAATAAATACATAATAACAAAAGCAGGAGATTGTTTATTTTCTACAAAATGCTTTTTATGATGTCCGCTTAGTATGACGTGATTGTTATTTCCCTTCGATATCATTATAAACAGATTCCACTGTATACCTATAATAAATTATTAATATATCAATATAAATTTATTATATATCTATAATAAATTTATATTGATATATTAATTTTGAATATCATATATGAAATACATAATATTAACATATTATTTATTTAACTCCGAGATATTTAATTTGAATCCCAGTGGAAATATTTAAATAGGTCTGGATGTGTTGTGATTCTGCATCCTAGCCTACCTCTAACCCAATCTCTTTTTTTTTATCGTTGTTGAACATACCTTCATTGGATTGAGCAGTTTAGAGTACTACAAAATATACATTTCAATACTTTATTGCTTATAATTCCCATCTATGTTTGGATGTCTGAGTCATACTTTACATATTGAGGTTTTGCTATGAATTATGGACAAATAAGCATGTTATGGATGTTTAGTAATGACAAATTTCAACAATTAAAAACAATGTAAATTACATAAATTTGTCAATTATATAGGTAAGCGTAAACAAAATTTGCTAAATGAGTCTTATTTGCTCTTACAGCGTATGGTAAGTGAACCGAAAATGCTTGTATGTCTTGTTTGTGTACTAGCATTCACATGCTGTATATTTGATCATTTTGTTCTTTTTAAAACCCAATAACAATAAAATTAAAAACACAATGTTAAAAATATTGGAAAATGTTCATAAATAGTCTCATTACTTACAGATAAAACAGGAGGCTCCAAATTTAAGTCAATTGGGTTCATAACAATAAAAACTTGTTGGTTTTTATGTGTTAAGCCATTTGGCTCCCGCAATGCTGCTTTACAGTAGTACTGGACCCATCCATGAGTTCCAAGGAATGTTGAGGGCAAACCCATAGGCAGACCAAGCTTGAATGGGAAGCTGTGGATGCCAGGCGACAGTAATGATGGTGTATGTCCTGAAATAAAATATGTTGTAATTTTGAACTTGAGTTATATAACAAAAGAAAACATTTAAAATGGTCAATGATAAAAATAATATAGGTTTCTCTATATCATTTTTATATTTACTATATTTCTATATTTTTTGATAAAAATGAATTGATTGACAATTCATTTGGTAAAATCGGTTTAATGGGCAGAGGCTGCAGACAGTGAAACATGTAAATATGAAAGAGCCATGCTACAGCTATATTATGGTTGTAGCACAAATGGGTCGGCTCGACCGGGGTAAGACCATGCTCACAGAATACCAGCGTAAAATAGCAGCTTCATGCTGCAGTGTTTCGTATGGTGAGTGTAGAGAACCGGAGAACCTTTTACTGGAAATGAGTCATTCCATCTTAGTCCTCAGGGGTGACAATTGACGATAAATGTTGATGTCTATGTTGTCACAGCATCCACTTACCATCAGGTGGATTGTCTGCTCGTTAGTCACCCATATTCTATATAAAAAACATTAATACAAACATACATACATAGAATGTTAAATAAAGAACCCTTTCTTTAGATAGTCGTAATCGGTTAAAAATATAGGTTGAAAGTCAACCCTTAGTTGTAGCAAAGAAAACATGGCAAAGTAACCGTCACATTTTATGCAGCAGACGAACTGACCAGAAGAGGATTGGCTCTGGCCACTATAGGGCCGGAACCAATCATACCAATCCATTTTGGTAACATTTGTTCACTGGTACATAGACAGTTCACTAATCAATACGCTCAGCTTTGGAAATATCTAGTAGACTGTAGACAAGCTAGGCAGCCCCTGTCTAAAATAAACAGTTGTTTAACCAAAGTTCTAATGAGACTGAACAAGCCGCAGATCAGGATAGTAACAAGTGCTATCACAGGACACGGCACCTTTAACAAACATTCTGCATTAAAATAAAATGCCAAAATTAACTCTCATGCTGCCATATCGAAAGCAATGCTGTTAATTAGTTATTGTATTTTCATCCAAAAAATGGCATATCTCAAAAAACTACATTTTCCATGTTAATCATAATTTTGTACCAGTACATCAGTTGCCAGACTTGACTGTACGTACTAAAATAGATAATGCCATGCCAATTTTATACAAACAAAACATAGGCTTTAACTATTGCATGGTTTAGACAAATCTATTGAATATGATTTGACATAAAATATTGATTTAAAATCAATCCAGTCATTGTTGATATCCTTGAAAAACATAATTACCCTGTGACATGACACAGGGCAATACCATCAGTGTTCAAATACCAAGCAACTATTTATCTAATTTTTAAAATGTAATTCTAGACAACCTGAATATTTTACAGGTTATCTAGAATTACATTATAAAAATATATTCTTTTTATATTTTATGAGAATATCTACAATTTCAATAAAATTATATCTGGCATTTTGTTATATTCCAACCAATATAGACAAAAGTGGAAAATAATTGTTGATGTTTAGTGGCAACACAAATTGTCAACAAATCTTTTTTTTTATGTCTATGTTTTGAAAATCATAATTTTTTATGTTTTGATATAGGGCATTTTCTTAATGCTTTGTTCAAATAAAATTTCAAGAGTGCTTTTTAACTACCTATTATTATATCTATATTACATAGTTTGCCATAGGTTTCTGTTTACCTGGTTCACCCAGAAGACGCATCCTAAAGTCAATATAATTCTCTTTATCAAATAAGCGTTCATGTCTGCCAGAACCTACTCGAACAACACCCTCACCTATGACGTGGAAGTGAAGACCTGGAAAACATGAATTTTAATGAATAATATGTGTGTATGATATCTTTGTGAGAACATAATATAATGATAAGGGCACTGAAGTACTCACCTAGCACAGGAGTATCATCTTGTAATTCCATTAACACTTTACCTGACAAAAATTGTCCAGGAAAATATAATAACGATGTGTTATCAAATACAATCAAGAACTTCAACAATTTCCTCGGCATTTTCGTTAATTTGATGTTTTCGCCGACTAATACGATGATTGTAATAACAAGTACTAATTAGAACGATCTATAACAAAAAGTCAACATTCATATGATTGATTTATGCAAATGTATGAAGATGATACGTGCGTCGAATAGTTTCGTAAGTTTGATCGTAACGCGGAAGTTAATGTATAATAGAAAGTAAAAATTCTAAGTAGTTACTTAAGACAATGTATAATGCCAGCGAAATAATCTTTCAGTTATAAAACTTACGCCTTTAGTGACATTATGTAAACCTCTCACATAATCCGTAGGCTGAACAAAGTTGAGAAATATTTTAAAGTGAAGGCCATCAAGTTCAAAAAGTTAACTTCACCTTGAATAAATTAGTTTAAATTAAAGATATGATACAATGAAATCAATAACTAAATAATTAATTTGACCAATTCATGAAGATGCATTGTTAGTTAATAAAAACCAATCAAATTTTATTTAATGAAAACAAAAATATCCTGTTTTATCCCAGACAAGACCACACTCGTGTTTGACATTTGATTGATTTGATTGACAGGTGACAGCTTCCTTTTTTTTTTGGAGTTTATGGACTGGTATCTAGACCTTTAGGCCAAGTCTTAAGTATTTTTATTCGGTTTATTGTAATTTTCCCACTCCTTCATAGTATACTGCTTCACAATATGTTGATGCGTCACATTGTGCAGTTCTTGGGAGATTTTGGCGGCAACTTGATCCAGCAGACAGCTGATAGTTGGCGATGGTATCTAAAGGTGCCTATGCAAACAAACAGCTTATCTTGAGAATCCATCACCATCAGAGCACTTGTTTCACTGTTTCCACTAATAGTTCACATGCGTAGACACTTAATACACAAAATCGCAACACTTTTATATATCAAAGTCCACTTCAAACCATTATTTAAACAATAATACAGGAGCAGCAAACCGCCGCCGGTCAATTTCCCGCCAAAACTCCCTGACAGCTTCCTTGACAACTATGGAGTATAGAGTACCATAGTACAATCTACTCTATAGTCCATGTTGACAGCACAGACTATTAACTATTAAGAGATTATCTATGACTAAGAGGATAGTGCGCATCTTGACAGTAATTTCAAGAATTGCTATATAACTGCTTATACTAAAATAATAATTTTATATACATTATATATGCATTGTTTATAATGCATAATACATTTATCTTTAATCAATATTTATTATTTACTGATTTAATTAGCAACAATATTTAAAAGAATAAGATAGGTGACATCAAACCAAGACAAATCTGACATATGTTTGTTTATTATCTTTTTGTCATAGGTCATAGTCAAAAAGCTTATTTTGAATTTGTCTTCTATTGGTTAAAATACGAGTATGTGATGTTTTGGCCAATAACAACATTGGTATTTAAATTATAATTCGTAGATTAGGAATGTTATTTTTAACACAAAAATAATAAGAATAAACAATAAATTGTAAAACCGGCGAATAGAACTGGCGGTTATTCAATTGCTTGTATTTTGTAGCAAGTTTTAAAAATTCCTATTTATAAGAAAGATCAAATAGAAAGAAGAAAAGAAAGGTCAAATAATATAATTCAAAATGCCGAGTGAAATGATAACACTTCAACTTGGTCAATGCGGAAACCAAAGTAAATTCTGGTTTAACTTTGTCATATTTTTAATTACTGTTTAGTTGTTTTCTATCAAGTTCTGTTTATATTCTAGTTGGCTTCGAGTTTTGGAAACAATTATGCATAGAACACGGCATATCTCCTGAAGGGATTTTGGAGGAATTTGCATCAGCAGGTTCGGACCGCAAAGATGTTTTTTTCTATCAAGCAGACGATGATCACTACATACCCCGGGCTGTGTTGTTAGACTTGGAGCCTCGAGTTATACACACTATTATGAATTCTCCGTATGCAAAGGTATCAATTTGTACTTTTTATCATATTCATATTAATATGATATACTGTAATACTTAAACTTAAATCTCAGTTGGTTTTGTTTAGGCGTAACTTCCATTAACTAAATCGGAATAGAATATACACAATTGCTAGTTTGACTTCTCACTCGGTGAATTATCATTCATATAAAAATATGAATACCCGATAAAAATTCCATGATATGGGCATGGGCAAAATATGGATGTTCTAGCTTCCTTAAGATGGACTTATTTTGTGTGTTCTGGATATTCATGATATTCTATTTTTGGAGCAGAAATGCCACCAATTCCTTATAACTTATATACAACAAGTGGGATGCAGGAAGTAAAAACTGTGTAAGAACCTATGAAAGAAGTCGAGTTATAGCTGAAATAAGAATTTTAAATTTTTTGGTTTTTGGCCATTTTGAGTGTAATGAGAACTTTTTGCCTCTATTTAACCTTGACCCCCATGACATCCTCTACATGACCCAACTCATTTCTAGTCTTTACTTCCAATAATAAAAATAGATTTACATGTACTGCCCATCATATTATTCTTAGTGTGTTTTGTTGAAACATATTAAATTGCTGTTTTCTACTAAGATAATACTTTGATTATGATAAATACTTTAAATTTTCAGCAATAATAATAATAATTTCAACTAACATTTTAGCTACTATTTCCCATACCATATCATAAATTTAAGATAAAATTTTATTGCAGCTATATAATCCAGAAAATGTATATTTATCAAAACATGGAGGTGGTGCGGGGAACAACTGGGCTTCTGGATATGCGCAAGGAGAAAAACTCAATGAAGAAGTTTTTGATATTATCAACAGAGAAGCTGATGGCAGTGATAATTTAGAAGTAAGTTTTTGATTAATTGTTTTCTCTTCTGTGATAGGTAGTTTGTTTAAGATTGTTAGGTTTTTAGGACACACTCAGGACAACAAGGCATGATTGATTATGTTGTAGTACTAAGAAAAAGTGAAATTTTTTAATATTTACATTGAATTATAATGATGATAATGGTATTTTATTTAAATTATATTCTAAATTTTTAATCATTGTTTTGCAGGGATTTGTCCTATGCCACTCAATCGCCGGGGGCACGGGATCTGGTATGGGATCTTACATCTTGGAACATTTGTCGGATAGATTTCCCAAAAAATTAGTACAGACTTACAGTGTCTTTCCGAATCTAGATGAAATAAGGTAAATGAGAACTGTGATGAATGATATTAAGGAATAATATATATAAGAAAAATTGTGCATGTTATTGTGAATACATGTATGAAGTGAAACATCTTTACACCATAATCTTCTTTTATTTTATATTTTACATAAGTAGGTTAAATAATAGTATACTCATACAGCTCTGTTGGTGAAATGTTACAAGAAAGTGTGACGTTTTTCAATTTTTTGTACCATATGTGTCTATTTTCTACACTATGTCGATAAAGTAGTTTCACATGAAAAAAAATTTTTTTAACATCCATTCGAAATGCTTTTAAAGTGAACTGGTCAGATCATGTGTAAAAAAAAAAGTGTGGATAACTATGTGTGTTACACATTTCCTATGAAGTAAACTAACCAATTGTAGTTTTAATTTATTTACTATACATTTTCAAAATAACAATCAGTTGCCTTAGTGTAATTAATTATTTTTTGCTTTAGGCTAGTAACTAAAAGTTGTCACTTCTCTTTTACATGCAGCAAATCATTTACCCATTTCAAAGCTAGAAATATATTATTGGATGTGCCCAATTTGTGTGAATCAGCATTTGAGTCAAGTCTGAGCATCATTCATGCCATGAGCCTGAGTGCAGTCACTATTTATGCAGTTATGGAATATTTTTTTTTTGTAATGACCGCTCGAATGAGGCTCGGGCCTCTGCCTCGGGCACGGACATTATAAATCGTGACTAATAATGTTTCCAGCCTAATGAAGGAGATATAAAGAAGGATATTTCTTACAACAAAATAATGGCTTGATAGTTGTCAAAACTTTTACACACATAAATGCTTCACTTTTTTTCATATAAAATGTTGTGTATGTATGTACTTTTGTTTCCTACTATCACTAATTAATTAAGAATAGAGTACCTGTAATTTTGTGTTTGCACATACCTTCCGATTTTGACCTTCACTGTCTAGTTATGGTTAGATTATGATATCCATAAGGGAGAATGTCTATGGTAGTGTGTCAATTTAAATGAAAAAATGTGTTATTATAAAATAAGCATTTTTTCAGACTTCCATATAAAATTTTATTATAGTTTCATTATTTTATTCCAGTGATGTAGTAGTACAACCATATAACTCATTGCTGACATTGAAGCGACTGACAGAGAGCGCAGATTGTGTGATGGTACTGGACAATACGGCACTCAATAGAATCGCCAGTGATCGCCTACATATACAGAATCCTTCCTTCGCACAAATAAACACACTTGTTTCTACAATTATGAGTGCTAGTACAGCTACTCTTAGGTAATCTATCATTTTTCATTGCAAATGTGGTTAGAATTTTTATCCAGAAGGGCCTGGCTCCCGAAAATCGATGGCCTATGAAACTGAAGCCTAATGTAGGTAGTAAAGTATTTTCAACTTTAAGTGTTGAGCTATGGCTTAACTTGGCCATAGATTTTCAGGATATATAATTTTATTAAATGGACTAAAACATTTTGAGTGAAATATTATGTTATGAAATATTATCTTGATTATTAATTATATGTTTAACTTACATTTGACATCCTGGGATGGGAAAAAAATATGCTGGGACGACATAGCACAACATAATAGTAAAAGATATAAGCAAATAATATTTAAATGAATTCTATCAATTGTTTCTTAATTTATCTCTTGGTTATTTCCACAGTGTATAATTTAAAAATTTAAATTGGTTTATGCCAAATTTAATTTTGAAGTATTCCATTTATTATTTTTTGTTCAACTCTATATTGTTAATTATGATGTCATAGATCCTGTAATATTGTCATAGGGTTTATTTTATACAAATTGTCTAAATCTAACATAAAGCTTGTTCTCGTGCAAATTGACGTAAATAAAGCTTGACAACAGGTACCCGTCGTACATGAACAATGATCTGATCAGTCTGGTGGCACCGCTGATCCCCACACCGCGCCTTCACTTCCTTATGACCGGCTACACACCGCTCACTGCAGACCACGAACTCAATACTGTGAGTATTGATTGCAAGTGTGATAATAACAACGCATTCTGGATTGTTACAGGCTCATAATGAAGAAAGAAAATATATATTAATAATGAAGAAAGCGCGAGCGCTAACCATCTGAGCTGTGGTAGCTCAAATGGTTAGCGCTTGCTGTAAGTTTCACAGTACGCAAGCGACCCGGGTTCGATCCCCGCCGGCACCAATGAAATTGTTAATTGCAATTTTAAGTGCTCATGTACCATGTGCTCGGCGGTGAAGGAAAACATCGTGAGGAAACCTGCATGTCTGAAAAATAAGAAAAAAGACGATTAGAATTAGAAGACATGTTAAGTTCGCCAACACGCATTGGGGCAGCGCGGCAGACATTTCCTTGCCCTAAAACCCTCTCAGAAATGAGAAGAGGCCTGTGCCCAGCAGTGGGACGTATATAGGCTGTAACAAACTTTTTCACTTTAATGACGAAAGCTAAAATATACGTGGTAGAGTCATGCTGCAGTTATATTAGTAGTATGAATGTAGAAAACCGGAGATCGCTTTTAGTGGAAACGAGGCATTCCATCTTAATCCTCACTGGTGATAATTCGTCTGCACTTTAATGTGTAGTCGAGGATAGATGTAGATGTCTATGGGCCACAGCAACTACTTACTAGAGATGAGTCGTATTAGGTAAATTTTGTACTAGGTGCATCTAGTCCAATTCCGTACAAATACTTGATCCAAATACCTAATCCTCCAAGTCCATGAAGTATGCATAAAGTTTGGTATTGTTGGAATAGGTTACACTTTAACATATGCTTAGTGTTTGTGTACCACCGATACGAGTAGGTACTAGGTACGTATGCAGTAATGAATTATAATCTTCCCTTCACACTTTACACAGGCTTAGGACTGTTATCGTAAAGATTTATCTGCATTGTAGGTTGTTGGCGTATTTAAAAGATTTCAATTAATTTTTTTTAAATTAGTCAGATTTTGTTTTTTTTTCGTTTTTTTTTTTAATTATTTTTGTTTATTCTTTTAATCACCTATCTACAATTATTGTTTTTTAAAAATACGGAGAAAATCAGCCTTAAGAATTTTGAATCAAGAACATTAGTTGTTGGACTTTTCGAGTCCTCAGCCTCGTTCTCCTGTCATTAAGTAACAATCCACAGGAGTCCAAAGTAATCATTCACAAGAGACACTCGTGGCCATTGTATTCAATTTGTTGAGTGCGAAAGCATACAAATGCGTGATATATCCTCACCCGGCAACAACTTTACCATTCGAATACCTTTGTACTTCTATGGTTGGATATTTTTAATTTTTTCGGCATAATGTTGCCGTACTAAATTAATTTGAGGCTGAGGTGGAGGGTTTGCTGCTTGATCCGATAGCTGCTGCTCCTCGTTTTGAATTTGGGGATTCTTTCGATCCTCTTTATTTATAATTGTCGTAATAATTTCTGTAACACTACAAAATAGTGTCACACTGATCTTCAAAATACAATTTAGATTTAGGATCCAGAAAGATACAGGTAGTAAACGTGCCGCTTTTACCTAAATTTTCTATTTTTTATAGTGGCCAGCAAGTCTTGTAGTAATTTTGGGTGGTATCGAGGTATGTATTAGTATTAATATTTTCCGAACATTTAACTAAACCTGTCGATATAGGTTTTACTAAACTTCCTGTTACATATTTTTAGCACTTACTTCCCTTGTAACTTCGTCACATGGTTTTAAAATGTCGCAAACATGTTCACAAAGTTCCCAATCAACTGCAGTTAAGGACATATTATTGACGTTTTAGTTAGAGAGCGCACTATTAACATGTTAATTTAATTCTATCAACCTCTGCAACATGTAGAATGTAGAATTCCACCGCGTGCTTACACATTGCAGATGTCTCTGAGGAGTTTTTCCAGCCTGTTCTTGGTATTTTTTTTTCAATTTTTCCCAAGCTTGAGCGGATCTTTTGAAGTAAACTACAGTAGTTTTTACCTTATTTATCAAATCAACCAATTCTTATGTCGCAGACAATCCTTATTGGACGGCTAAATTTAGCATGTGTGTATAGTAACCAAAATGCTTCCACCCTAAATCTGTCATGGCTTTTTTAATATTGGCGCCGTTATCTGAGGCTGCTAACAATTTTTTTCCTGATGTTCCTCTGTTATTCGTAACAGTTCCATAGCTAAGTTGGCACTGGTATGTGATCCTTCTAAAAGTACACAATCTAACAAGATGGATTTTAAAGTGCAGTTATTTATATTGATATAATGACGAGTAATACCCGTATAAGAGTCGCTTGAACTTGATGTCTATATATCCACTGTGATGGAAATCGATTCAACATCATTTGCGACTTCCATCATTTTTGCAGTTCGCAAACTTTCGTAGCGACTTGGCAATAAATTGTTCGCAAAGTACACACTTACGATTTGGAATAACATAAAAAGGCAAAGCAGACTGAATTAATTGTCTAAAACCTTTGTCTTCTGCAATACTGAATGATTGAAAGTAAATAAATAAATCCATTAATAAACTTATCTATATTAGTTATTAGATTTACATTTATCAACATTTTTTTTATATATGTATGAAGTTGAAGCTTTAGTTCTCGAACCTGGTTGTACTAATCAAATACAAAGTGTCAATAAAGTGGACGGCCGTTGTTCACCTTCAGGTTGTTGAACTATTCCAGCAGGTTGGTCTGAGGTTGGCGGTTGATGGTTAGTCTGGGTCTGGTCTGCTATCACTGGAGCTGGAACGTCGTTTCTTCTAACTTAACTTATGAATGGATGTTTACTTTTTATCCGCTTTGTAAGGTTTGATACAGAACTTTTAAAATTCAATTGAATTTTACAAATATTACACTAGGCCATTTGTTGACCTTTGTCCGTAAAACGATCCCAAGCGACACTAATTCCTATGAAAGCCATTTTTTAACAATAAACACTTGAATGTTTTAATAAAAATAAAATCAAAAGTTCTCTAACCACTTAATTATACTTAATTCGATAAGTTCGTTAACCAATTGCTATAAAGAGTCTGATATGCGTATACGATTGCGACGTCGAGTACCTAGTTACCGAGCCGGCATCCGCTGAGATCACATTCGTACGAGTCCCTACTAGAGACTCAATTGCCTAGGTGCCTAGTATTTGGTTGAAGTCCCGAATAGACTAGTCTTGAATATTAAAAGAGAAAGGTAGAAAGACTGCGGAATAGTGTAGTTAAAAAAGGTCAGAACATTATATTCTTGCACTACACTACTGCGCGTCGTGTAACTTTTATGCACATTGAAATATATGGTCTGCTTCAAATGACTGACACACAAATGATTTAGACAAATAGGCCTCGCGCGCACTAGGCAGCCTGGCTGCGCAGCCAGGCTGCGGCGGCCGAAATATTTGAGCAGCCACTTCTAAGCAGCCAATGGACGGCCAGTTGTGACTCTTTCTTCGAGGGATATGGACGTGGGAGAACTTGTAATTTTGTGCGTATTTCGTAAACAACGCAAAGCTAAAAGACATTGGATTCATCCTTTTTTTCTAGAATGGCACTTAAAAGGCTTATTTCATACCTATTTTAAAGATGTTCGTAAATACCCATACCGGTTTTTTTACTACACGAAAATATCAGTGCAATCATTTGATAACCTTTTGGAAAATATAAGAAATTCAAGAAAGGGCACTGATACTCCTATAGATATATCCCATATTGCTTTACGGTTTTCAATTTCGCGAATAAATTTCTGTGTCAAAAGTCATTTTGTGGTTTCTGAACACAAAATACGCCTGGCTGCTACGACAAGTGCGCGGTGACTGAAGGCAGCCACATACATTTACCCTGCTCGCTCTGGCTGCGCGCAGCCAACGGGCTGCCGTGCAATCGGGCGCGCTTTTATGGCTGCCGCAGCCGGGAGTTCGTGGCTGCTTAGGTGCGCGGCCTCCCATACACCGTCATATGTTCGACTGGCTGCCGCAGCTTGGCTGCCGCAGCCAGGCTGCCTAGTGCGCGGGGGGCCATACAAATGAGCGGAAAAGCAGACGGGAACAAAATGCGATCTCGCATGCAACTATCGTAACAAAATGCGATCTCGCTTCGTCGCTCGCGCCGGTACTTTATACTTGTACTTCTTCACACAGTGAGACTAAGACTAGGTGGATCAAGTGTTTGAAAAGTTGGAACAGGTGCAACCAGGTCTCCTTTAATACCTAGTGCCTGGATCTATACGCTTATATAGTATATACGCTTCATCTCTACTACTTACTATCAGGTAGACTGTGTATTCGTTTGACACCTACTACGGATTACAATATTCACAATGGTAACATTAGTTATTAAGTGCTTTAATTTACTAACACTCATGGAGAAATAACATTTTTTTTAATTTTAGACTTTTGGTTCTACAATCGCCAATCAACCTACCATGCGTGACGACTACTCTCAACTACTCTACTCTACTATGGGGATGTTCCGTGTATCTTAGATTGTTTACAGACTGATAAAAAAGAGGAGAAGAATAGCGTTTCTTTGTGAATAAGCTACTTAAACATGTTGTTCAGAAAGTCATAGTTTTAATCTTCTAACTTTAATATTATTATATTAGCCTATACGTATTTGATTAAAGATGAAATTAGTTTTTATAACATTTCAATATTTTTTTTTACAGGCACCAAAGATTCGGAAAACGACAGTACTGGATGTAATGCAAAGATTGCTACAACCAAAGAATATGATGGTCTCGCTCAGTCCAGATCGAACCAATCAGCACTGCTATATATCAATACTCAATATAATACAGGTAAAGAATGCAAATTTGTAAGAAAGTTTTTTTTATTAAAGTAGGTATGTTAATGTTAAACTTATCCTTGTTCCATGAATCATATTGTAACATTGTGAAATTACTTATTATTTTTTAATTATTATTAAATAATATTGTCAAAATTAAATATTACAAATTTGTAATTAAAGTTGGTTATAATTCCCAAAAACGTTAAAGAAATCAGCTGGTTTAACACCGTGTATCTTATTCCGGTGGGTCACCCACCACGATTCGGTCGGATGATACAGTTCCAGACTGGAAATGGAAGCAGATTAGGCTTAAACACCACAACTGAACATGGGTGTTATCAGTTTTTTATGATAACGGTTACTTAACTAATATGAAGTTTTCATATACGAGGGGAGGTCAAAAAGTTTGCGGAATGGCGGCGTTGGCGAGGGTGAGTTTACTCATCCAGGTAGGCGCTAGTTCAGGGACTCATTGTTAGTATATATATATATATATATATATATATATATATATATATATATATATATATATCAACGTAAACAAGTCAATCGAGAAGAAACTAGCCACTATAGAGAAAATTGCATACAGTCATTAAGTTTCTCACCAAACAAGGAAAGATACAATCAAACCATTTTTCAAGAGATGTCTGCTGTTTATGGGGACTCCGTTCCTGCGAAAACCATGATTTATAAATGGCACGCCCTTTTTAAACAAAGGAGGGACTCCATTGAAGACGACCCCCGACCTGGATGGCCGATTGAGGCTACCACTCCAGAAATAATCGAAAAAGTTGAAAAACTTGTATCGGAAGATGTCCGGCTAAAGAAAAAACAGCTTGCAACATTAGTTGGAGTATCAGAAACAACCATTTTAATACATCTTCACCTTGGCATGGCTAAAGTCTGTGCAAGATGGATTCCGAGACGGCTTTCTGCGCATCAAAAACACGAGCGCGTTGAAAGTTGTCGCGAGTTTTTGGACCGCTGTGGAGAGCAAAGGGATGGAGGAAGTTATGGCCCGCATTGTAACTGGCGATGAAACTTGGGTTCACCATTATGAACCTGAGTCAAAGCAATTGTCGATGCAGTGGCATAAAAAAGGCACACCCCCTCCTAAGAAGTATAAGGTGCCTCAATCGGCTGGTAGGATAATAGCGACGATCTTTTGGGATACAGAAGGTATCCTTTTGATTGATTAGAACGTGGTGTTTCCATAACGGGAGAATACTACGCTTCTTTACTAGATTAATTAAAAGTAGCTATTAAAGAAAAAAGGCGAGGAAAGCTTACAAAAGGCGTGTTACTACACGACAATGCGCCCATGCATACAGGCCATGTTGCGACGGCTGCCATTCACCGGTGCTGTTTTGAACAGCTGCGCCACCCACCCTAGAGCCCAAACCTGGCTCCAAGGGACTATTATTTGTTTCAAAAAGGAAGAAAGAACTTAGTGGTAAAAAATTTGGCGACGATGATGAAATGAATTCGACAATTTCGGCCTATTTTGAGCCCAAGATAAATCTTTTTTTTAGACGGTATTAATAAGTTATTTGACGGATCTAATAAATGTATTAGGGTTAAGGGAGAATACATTGAAAAGGAAAAATAGTTTAATGTTTAATTTCATTATCCTTCCCTGTCATTCCGCGAACTCTGACCTCCGCTCGTAGATATGAAAGACCGTTTTTAGATATCGATATGAAGCACAATTTGATTCCCGTTACTGAAGTTATAGTTGACAGTGATCGGACTAAAGTTCGAATGTTTATATCAAAACAAATTTTTAAGAAATCAGCACGCGCTATTATTTACGTAAAATACACCTCGTAAAGTCAAGTTTTTGATAAACAATTGACATTAGACTTTACCGTGTTACAATAAAGTTTAATTTAAAATGATATCGTTTTAGCGTTTGCATATAGGTTGGTAACTAAACAACAGCTAACTCTAACCGCGGCCGCTTCCGGAAGATATTAGCTTCGTCTCGTTTTCACAACTGGCAGGGTTTTTAGTCGGACAGAGAGGCGGCGAATATATGTAGTAGGTTTGTTACGTTGCCTCTTTGCGTAACGGAATTGATATGATTTTACATTATGGGAAATCACGTTAGCTGTGTTACGTTTGGATTCTCTTCGATTGAGCGTTATTGTAAAAACAGTTTTCATTGCGCAGCATATCGATACAATACGTTATATACAGTTTTTAGTTACGTTTTGATATATCGGACTCGTGCTAACCACAACCCTTTTTAAATTCATGTATATTATACTTGTAGTACAGAACAATATAGAATTGTTGAATTATTGTGCCTATTTCACGCTCAGAGAACCTGTTCATACCCCAAAAAAATATAGCAAAATGATATAAAATACATAAATCATATTTTAAAGACTGGTGTTATTATTGTTTCAACAATGTTATATGTGTACAAATTACGAAACTGATTAAAGTAACATAACAGCATATATACGTCCCACTGTTGGGCACAAGCCTCCTCTAATTTCTTAGGGCGCAGGGAAATTGATGAGTCCTTCAAATAGTTGTAATTTTCTCAGACACAATATTAATTCTCAGGCATAATATCCTTAAGCGCCGGACACCTAACTCATTGTTTAAAGTTGTAATTTATTATGTCAATAGTGCCAGTTGGAGTCGAACCCCTCTGATTGTTACTTCCCTTTTCCTCTGGGGAATTTTATTTTCTTATTATTTTAGTATTTGTACACATATTAATTGGTTAAAAATGAATCAAATACTTTATACTGCCAGGTTTCATGCTGCTTAAAATTTCACAGGGCGAGGTAGACCCATCGCAAGTGCACAAGTCGCTTCAAAGAATTCGAGAACGCAAACTTGCTTCGTTTATCCCATGGGGACCAGCGTCTATACAAGTGGCGTTATCGCGACGTTCACCCTATGTACACGCTTCTCACAAGGTGTCCGGACTGCTGCTCGCCAACCATACTAACATCTCGTCGGTGAGTAGAGCTCCTGTTCACCATCCACCATCTCGTCGGTGAGTAGTGCTGCTGCTCACCAACCACCGACATCTCGTCGGTGAGCAGTGCTGCTGCTCACCAACATCTAGTCGGTGAGTAGAGCTGCTGCTCACCATCAGCTCGTCGGTGAGTAGTGCTGCTTCTTACCAACCACCAACATCTCGTCGGTGAGTAAGTGCTGCTGCTCGCCAGCCAATAGCTAACAAAACCAATATTGGTTTTCTTAGAAACTAAAAGAGTAGTAGATATGTATTATATGCACTTAACTTTTTGCAGCTGTTCGATCGATGTCTCCAGCAATTTGACAAACTACGTAAACGCGAAGCTTTCCTTGAAGTCTTCCGGAAAGAACCTATGTTTAAGGAGTCTTTGGAGGAGTTCGACGAATCTCGTAGTGTTGTAGACGACCTTGTACAAGAGTACCAGGCTGCTGCTACACCCGATTATGTGCACTGGAATCCTGGTAATTTCTATACTTGAACAGATTTTTATTTTGAAGGATTTTCGATATTTTATTAAAACAAGGAAAGAGCCGACAATGTTTCGGATTTCTAAAAATTAAAGACTTGATAATTATCCATAAACCTTTAGACATGTAAATCGTAGACCCGTTATTCTGACGCTGTCATCACACGACTGCCAGTGCAATAATTTTAATACAATATTCTATATAGATAAATAATTACTAAATTAATTATGTTACCACTACATTTTCACAATAGTCAAAATTCAAGTTCACTAACATGCTTGTGATTATAAATTTTTTTTTATAGGAGAGTGGGCAAACGAGCATACGGCTCACCTGATGGTAAGTGACTACCGCTGCCCATGAACAACTGCAACATCAAGGGAATTACAGGTGCGTTGCCGGCCTTTTAAAAAAGAGTAAGCTCTTTTCTTGAAGGTCCCTAAGTCATATCGGTCCGGAAAAATCGCCGGTGGTAAATTGTCCCACAGAGAGGTCGTACGCGGAAGGAAACTTCTAGTAAAACTTACTACTTACAGTGGTCAAGCATCCAGATGGTGTGAATGGTATCGGGAGTTTTGCCGCGATGTGCGTTCGTGAAATTTGGCGTCTGGAATTAATCCGAACAATTCCTCAGAGCGCTCCCCGTGGTAAATGCGAAAGAGTATGCAAAGGGATGCAACATCTCTTTGCAGCGCCAGTGAATCGAGCCGATCGGAAAGGACACGGTCGTCGATGATACGAGTCGCTCTGTGCTGGATGCGGTCAAGTGGAAGGAGCTGGCACTGGGGAGCCCCAGCCCAGAGGTGGGAACAGTATCCCATGTGAGGCCGAACCTGCGCCTTGTAAAGTTGCAGGCGGTGTGCGGGCATGAAATACTGTCCCGTTTCGCTGAGCACGCCAAGTTTTTTAGAGACCAATTTGGCCTTCTCTTCCAAGTGACCACGAAATTTCACGTCACTCGATATGTCGACGCCGAGGATTCCGATACTGGCTGAGGCAACAAGGGAAGTGCCTTGAAACTGGGGAGATACGACAAAGGGGTTCTTGTTAACGGTAAACGCGCAAACTTGTGTCTTCTGAGGATTAAACTGGACTAGATTTAGTCGCCCCCAATCCGAGACTTTGTTCAGCAAAGACTCCGTGTTCCGGTATTCGGCGACGTTACCGAAAAATATTGGCACGGCGGGTGTATAGAGCATCACCAGTGCTGTCATCCGCGTAGCAATGAATGTTACCGCTTCGCAACACATTGTTGCGCGCCACTATTAATGTCTTGTACATGGCAACACGGTGACGGCGCCACAGTAATTGACAATTTATTGAAACGTCACTGTCCTTGACATTAGTCGCACGTGAAATCACGGTCCTGGCTATATGCTTCATGATGCTGGCGTTCTCAACTCGAACGCACTAGTGACGTACCGGGATAATTCATTTTTACATTTGGGTTGCTTGGTTTATAAATTAATATTTTTATTTCTTGTCGCAAAAATCATTTAAATAATATATGAAATTAAATTTTTATGAATGTTTAGTTCAGTTCATTAAAATATTACATTATGAGGACTTGACTATCATTTTAATTTTGAAAGAATACAAATATAAATTTTTTGATAAATCTTTACAGTGGCGCAGCACTGGTCTCAGAAATATCATGGGGGTGGCGAGGCAGCAAGGTGTTTAATTTCATCTTGCACTTAGTAACACTATATATTTCTGTTAATTTTTTGACATTGGTATCTACAACTGTCCACAATTACTTAAATGTATTAAATTTAATAGCAAAATCGAATTAACCTTGCAGTTTTTCTAGTAACATGAGCATTTCGGAATATTACGTGAGGGCGCTGACGGTACACACAATAAGATTCGTAATATTACGGCTATGGCGGTGAAAGGGTTAAATCGCTAAGGATCACGATCTCTGCGGATGGAACCTGTTGTAGCAAGGAATCTGTAGCCATTTGGACGTGGTCGATGAGTCTGTCTGTTTCGGTATTACCGCTATGGGACCTATAGAGGCACCCCTTAGACGCGCGGATGGTCACGTACGCAGTCATAGCCAAAGGAAGGACGGACAAGTCCGAACCCTCAAGACTGCTGAGGCGTCGAGAACAGATGTCCTCTCTGACGTATATGCAAACTCCAGCCCGAGACACATTACACAAAGATTGTTCCAATTTGTACCCCGGGTAGGAGAGATACGAAGTATCAGCCAGAGAGGACACCTGCGTCTCGGTCAGAAAGAGCAAGGCCGGCTTCGCCGTCTCGAGATAGTAGTGGACGGCGTTTAGATTCGAGTGAAGTCACCTGATGTTGCAGAAATTCACGGATAGCGTAGCAGGGGTCGCCTTGGTCTTCTTGCTCAGTTTGCCCCGAACAGTTTTGAGCGGAATTTCGCACAATTTGCGAAGATATCGCGTATCATACAAAAATGAACATACACTCGAATTGAGAATTTTTGAATTCGGTTAAACATCATATTTCAAATAAAACACTTCTATTCTATCCTTATTATATATTACTTAAGTTTCTTTAGACTTGCTTTGGGTCGATTTTTTTTGCTGCTGCCACTAATGCAATTGACAAATTTCCCATATTATTTTTAGCTTTTATTTGCAGATAACAATCAAATATAACACAGGATAAACATGAAGGTGTGAAAAGATGTTTGATAATTTGCAGAGATGAGTCTAATCAGACATTCCAAGGGAAGACAGAAATGGAAGATCTGAACAAAGTTGTTAAGTTTTTAACAAGTGCCATTCATTTATTGTAGTAATAATAGTAATCTGAAAGTTGTTTACATTAATTTTAAGAATATTATTCATTACCATTAATTTAATAAATTAAGATTGAAATTTATGACATGAAAGCGTGCAACTTCATGATTTCTTCGTATTAGAGACGAGGTAAGGTGAGGTGTTAAAAACAACAAGTATTTTTGTTATCAAGAATTTATTATTATTACAACTAACCTCAACATTCCCTGCACATACTTCACTCCCGTGCATAACACAATGTGGTAATTAATGTGCTTTCGATGCATATTGTATTTTGCAAACAAAGTACCAAAAACTTATCTGTTATGTGAACATATAAGTATCATATTAAGGTATATAGTCACTATTTGTATTGTTTTAATTAGCAACCATGCATTTTAAATTACAATAATAAAACTTTTGATATTAAATGTTTTTTGTATCCACATTTGTATGCTAGAGATCATCCCACATCCAATTCATTAACTTATGTTAAGATCACTTTTTGTTCAATGATAATGGCCTTATGTACATTGGTAAAATTAAAAATTAAGTGGTTTAAAAGATTTTTTTAAGAGGCAACATTCAAGATTATTCTTAATTTAAATACGATATTACATAATAAAATTAACTGAAAACTAAACCATCTATTTATTATTCTCTTAAAATAGTTAAATAAATGACTTCTAATCAGGCCGATATAGGAGTTAATTAGTAATTTAATGTACAGAAATAACAGATGACATGAAAATTATATTTATGGGACTGTTTCAGTCCGATGCGTTAAAATGCAATTTTAACGTGTGGCAGTAATACAAGATTGAAACATTCATATCTCGCCATATTATTATAAGTATATCCAGTGTATGACATAAGTTGTGGTGGTTTTACATAGAAATCTTAATAAGTGATTTTTTTGTATAATGAAGTTAACTTTAGTGCAAACACACATTGAAAGTGTTATCACCTTTTAGGAGTAAATATTTAATAATATTAGCACTAAAATACTGAAACAATAGTGTAATGACAGACAACACTAATGCACATAAATTTTCAACTCTACAAATATTACTTTATCTAAATTTTATACATAAATATAACAGTTGTTCCTATGTTTTCGTTTATTTTTAACATGTTTTACTAGATATTTTTAAATCACAATGATGGCATAAAGTTGTGGTGAAAATAAACAATGAATTGTTCATCTATACTAAATAGTCTGCCACTTATGGTGTAAACATTCATTTTAAAATTAAAAGCATTTCCTTAATGTGTGTTACATTAGCATAACAAAATAAAATTGGAATTAACTTAGGTGGCCTGCCGCCTGGGCCAGTGGCAAGGCTAGGAGGTCTGGCTGGGCGGTTGGTACTTGGGCTGTATGATGGAGGTTTTCCTTAGAGGGACGGTCTCAGGTGTGGGAATGGCATCTCCAGTTGGCAATTTAGCAGGAGCAGCAGGTGCTTTAAACGGCGCCGCTAGATTGCTGGGCCTCTGTTTTGCCATTTGATAATCACCAGAATCAAAAAACTTTTGCTGAAAAAAAAAGATGTTCATTAATTTACAATTCCAAGTGTAATAATTTTATACAAAATTGGCTTTTACAAAGCACTTATTGAAAGTCAAAAGGTATGCTATTCCTTATCAAGTCCCTACTGCAGGGAGACCTTGTGAGAAGAAGTGATAAGAAATATAAGTAGACTGTTATGTTATAAATAATGTCTTTTTAAATGGATACAAAAAAATATTAAGTAAAACATATGTTTTACTTATTAATATAAAAAAACTTACAGTACAATGACCATTTTTTTACATATAGAATATTATATTATATAAGATATTATAGTATATCTAAAGAAAACATTCACATCACAACCACTTGCTAAATTAAATGTTTATGAGCTGGAACATAGAAGTAAAATGTAATTTAAGCTTATATCAAATTTAGCTTTTTGTAAGTATACATACAATATTACTCTACACATTATTTTTTTAATATTCCTCATCAGCTCATAAGTTATGCTAGATATGGAGGAACTAAACAGATTTTTCACAACACTAACAGATATCTTCCACTATTAACCCTGACAGCCAATCACAATCCTGGGTAGTGACGCTCAGTTTTGCTCTGTATGCCGATCACGACCTAGCGCGTCATCGGAATTCCTTGATTTTATCCTAAAAATTAAAGGAATTTCGGGGTCGGCGGTTGTTGCATTGGGTAGCTACATTCTTTAGCTACGCTCCAATTGGATTCATTTACATAAGGAGGTGGGGTGGGATGTAAAGGGAGGGATTGCAAGGAATGCGTCAAGCCGCCCGCCGCGCAATCGTGGATACGCAAAATTACCAGCATGTGTCATCTTATAAAATGGATATTATTGTTTTGGTTTTATAAATAAAATAAAAATTAATTTACTTTGTTTTATTTTTTATTATATAAAAAATTTGTTATTCTAGCATATACAAAAAGAAGCAAACGTATTACTTTTTTAGTTCTTTTTAAATAAAACTTACAAAAATGCCGTAAATGGCCGGCGTACAAGGGAATGTGCGCTAAAAAATGCTTGGCTGTCAAAGTGTTAACACTGATTCCTATTGTCTGTCCGGGTATTTTAATTTCTTTTTTGACCTGCAACAAATAGTATATTCGACCACACACCGAATACTGAATGTTCTGCGGACTACCTGACTGAATAGCCAAATATTAGGCAAAAGTATTTGGTCAGGAAGGAAGTAGTGTTGGAAGCTGAGATTGTCTATGAGAAGAAAAGGAGTAAACTATAAAAATGAAGAAAAACTAGTCTTTCTGCACTATTATCTTCGACTTTAACCGATTCGTTGCGGCGCCGATTTTCGACAACTTTTAGCTGTGGCGGCGAACAAATATTTTGTGACACGCCTGTCGTGTCCAGTGCCACTGTAATATTTTTTGTTTTATAAAAAAATAATTTATATAAGTAGGTACAGTTAAATCAGCCTGGAAAACCTTGGTTTTTATTAAATTAATTTTTCACCTAATAAAAACATTTGTAAATATCAAACAATGTAGAACCTTAATTTGAAAAAAAAATAAGGTTTATGATTCATTGATATTTACAAATATTAAATATTATTGTTATTATATTAACCCGGCGTCATGGGGGTTGGGTCAAAATTACCCGACGAGTTTTGATTTACGTATAAGTCTTTTACTATATATTGGATAGTGCTGTCCCTTTCAGTAGCTGGAGTTATTGATATGTACTAACCGTTCGTGACAAGCAATCAGTCGGGCGGCGTCTGCGTTAGTGTGTACGCGTGTGCAAAGTAGAAAAACGTAAATATGACCCATCCCTGTAGTCAATGTAACAATTTCGCGCCATATTTATGATGAAAATTTTAAGTTGTTTTTTCGATAAATATAATGTGTTTTATACTTTTTATGATGAAATTCAAACGCATGTTTGTCGAATAAATATCTGTAGTCAATGTAACAATTTCGCGCCATATTTATGATGAAAATTTTAAGTTGTTTTTTCGATAAATATAATGTGTTTTATACTTTTTATGATGAAATTCAAACGCATGTTTGTCGAATAAATATCTGTAGTCAATGTAACAATTTCGCGCCATATTTATGATGAAAATATTAAGTTGTTTTTTCGATAAATATAATGTGTTTTATACTTTTTATGATGAAATTCAAACGCATGTTTGTCGAATAAATATCTGTAGTCAATGTAACAATTTCGCGCCATATTTATGATGAAAATTTTAAGTTGTTTTTTCGATAAATATAATGTGTTTTATACTTTTTATGATGAAATTCAAACGCATGTTTGTCGAATAAATATCTGTAGTCAATGTAACAATTTCGCGCCATATTTATGATGAAAATTTTAAGTTGTTTTTTTCGATAAATATAATGTGTTTTATACTTTTTATGATGAAATTCAAACGCATGTTTGTCGAATAAATATTTAGTTTGAGTTTTACTTTTTTGTAGGTAGTTCGCAAAAATGGACCCAGAAGAAAGACTACGTCATAGGCTAATGGCAGTTCTTGAGGAATCAGATTCGGATGTGGATATGTGTGACCAAGAATCAGCTGAAGAAGACCATGTGAGTGAACGTAGTCAAGAGAGTGACACGGAACAAGAGGCCTCAGATAGCGATGATGACAGTATCCCGTTGTCCATGCTTCGAAACCAAGCACGTTCTGATAATATTGAGGCAAATCCTTATGTGCAACAGGAATCCCGTACAACAAATCGTGAGTCACAACTTCCACATTATCTTGGCAAAGATGGAACGGTTTGGTACAAGACACCGTTCCGTCAAAATACTCGGATCAGAGCTGAAAATATTGTAACGCAACGCCCAGGTGCAGCTTCTGTGGCGCAATCTGCTATGACTGAAATAGATTGCTGGTCTCTTTTTTGTACTGAAGATATGCTAGAAAATGTTTTCAGATATACTAATGCACGTATTAGACCTAAAATTTTATCTTGTCAGAATTTATCTAAGTATACCCACATAAAAGAATGCAGTATGGCTGAATTAAAAGCTTTCTTAGGGCTTTTGTATATTGCTGGACTAAACCGCTCTGGGAGGCAAAATTTGAGTGATTTGTGGGCTACTGATGGTACGGGAGTGGAAATATTTGGTCTTGTTATGTCAAAACAGCGTTTTCATTTTATCCAAGCTTGCTTGACTTTTGATGACATTTCCACTCGTGAAGAAAGGAAAGCACTAGATAACTTAGCACCTATAAGGGACCTGTTTGACATTTTTGTTGAGAATTGTAAAAAAAACTATGTCCCAGGGGAATGTCTAACAATCGATGAAATGCTTATAGCTTTTCGAGGCCGATGTAAATTTCGCCAATACATACCTTCGAAACCAGCTAAATATGGCATAAAGATTATTGCTCTTGTAGATTCCGAAAAGTTTTATATCAAGAACCTTGAAATATATCCAGGAAAACAACCTGAAGGCCCATACTCTCAGAGCAACAAACCGTTCGATGTCGTAGATCGCATTGTACAGCCCATATCTAAAACCAATTGTAATGTAACCTTTGACAATTGGTTTACAAGCTACGAAACTATCCAGCATTTGCTCCAGCATCACAAACTAACATCTGTCGGCACGTTACGTAAGAACAAGAGACAAATCCCTCCGGAATTTACTAAAACACGTGGAACGGAGGTGTATGCGTCTCGATTTGGTTTCCAAAAAGACTGTACCATTGTTTCCCATGTTCCTAAAAAAAATAAGGTCGTTTTACTGATATCAAGCTTGCATCACGATGACGCTATTGATGTTTCAACTGGAGAAAAGAAAAAACCAGAAATCAATACGTATTACAACTGCACCAAATGTGGCGTTGATGTAGTCGATGAACTATGTGCCACGTATGACGTGAGTCGTAATTCGAAGAGGTGAACCATGACCATTTTTTATGCAGTACTGAACATGGCAGCTATCAATGGGCTTATAATACACCGAGTAAATAATAATTCAAATATAAAACGCCGCCGCTTCTTGAAAAACTTAGGCCTAGCTCTTGTGGGAGATCATATGAAAAAACGCAAAGACGTTGTGCAATTGCCTCGAGAAATGCGAAAAAAGATCGGTCGATTCGTTGGCGAAACTTCAGCAGAATCTCCAGCAAAAAAGAGCAATGTTCGCAGGAGATGTCAGGTATGCCCAGCAAAGAAAGACCGCAAAACAACCCATACATGTAAAAAATGCAACAAATTTATTTGCCCCGAGCACGTCCTACCTTTATGCTCTGACTGCTTCGACAATGATGAGTCTGATTAAAATTATTGATTGTTTCTCAAAAGACACATAATCTTAGTTCCTAAAAATGCAAAGTACATTCAAGACTGATAAAAAAATTATTATTTTTGTTAGTTTAGGTAAAATGTGATTAAACTGTTGATTTTTTTTAGTTATTTTGGAAAGAAGTTTAATAAAAGTAATTTAGTAGTTGTAATTAATATTTTTGTTTTTTTTTTGCTAAATCTTTTAACAAAAAACCTACATTATTCAAGAAATAAATATTTTGCTTTAAAATTATTGAAATATTATAAATCAAAAATATGGGTTAGGATGACCCACCCCGGTGTCCGTGTAACAATTTTCCACCCCCATGACGCCGGGTTAATAATATATAACTCTTTACCGCTGCATTGGAAGATGTTTTCAAGCTTCTGGACTGGAAAGGATACGGTATCAACATCAATGGCGAGTACATCACTCACCTTCGATTTGCCGACGATATAGTCCTTATGGCAGAATCGCTGGAGGACCTAAGCACTATGCTCAATGACCTCAATAGTGTTTCCCAACGGATAGGTCTTAAAATGAACATGGACAAAACAAAGATCATGTTTAATGTCCATGTCACACCTATGCCGGTAGTTGTTGGGAACACTAAGCTCGAAGTTGTTGACGAGTATGTTTACCTGGGACAAATAGTCGGACTAGGTAAGTCCAACTTCGACCGAGAGGTCAATCGACGGATTCAACTCGGTTGGACAGCGTTCGGGAAATTACGGCACATCTTCTCGTCAGGTATACCTCAAAACTTGAAAACGAGACTGTACACCCAGTGCGTGTTGCCAGTGATGACATACGGAACTGAGACGTGGTCCTTCACTGCTGGTCGGATGAGGAAGCTCAAGGTCGCTCAGCGAGCTATGGAGAGGGCTATGCTCGGAGTTTCTCTGCGTGATAAACTCAGAAATGAGGATATCCGCAGTAGAACTAGAGTGACCGACATAGCCCAACGGATTAGTAAGCTGAAGTGGCAATGGGCCGGCCATATAGCTCGAAGAACCGACAACCGATGGGGAAGAAAGGTTCTCGAGTGGCAGCCTCGTACCGGCAGGCGAAGTGTAGGGCGACCCCCACTAGATGGAGTGACGACCTGGTAAGATATGCAGGAAGTCGATGGATACAGGTGGCACAGGACCGTGCTTTGTGGCATTCTTTGGGGGAGGCCTATGTTCAGCAGTGGACTTGTGAAGGGCTGTAATGATGATGATGATGAAATATTATTTAATGTTATACAAATGTAAAAGTAAAGTCGATCTGAAAACGTCTAATTAGTAAGAATAGCAAAACAAGTCTTTTCAAGAGGAAAAAAAACGTCGGTGCTATACGGCGGCGGATTGACAAAAGACTATTTATTAGCGAACTTTTTTTATGCAACAACGGTTTCGAACTGTTTCAAGCAAAAATAAACCTTATACCATATCACAAGAGCACATGGTACTTCGTAGATCTATTCAGCTATATGATAGTAATAAGACGGCAGTTCAACCATTTTAAGCAAAATTAAACAATAAGACAAACGCATTGTTTTCTTTTAACAGGAGACTTGTTTTCCAGAAATTTATTTACAACTTGAGTTTGTGAGCGATCGCAATGAGTGCTATTATTTGTTACTTATTAGACTATTTTTCCACAACGTGATTTAAAACCGACAAAGTAAAAAGAGAACCATGTACAAGTTAAAAAAAGGTTGTCAACCCCTAAAAATATCAAATTTTCAAAATATCCAGAAACGAAGCTGCAGGCATGAACTACTTGCAAAATAATGAATATTTTGTTCTGGATAAATCTTCCAAAAAAGTAATCTGAGCGAGTTATAACGATTTTTAAAAAGACACGACTCGCGTGTCGTACTCCAAAAGTGCCACCCCCACTGAACCGGTTAATTATGTTAATTCAGGTACATAGACATTTTTTCTGAGTTCTTTTTTTTTACTTTTTATAATATCGAAGTTCATTATGTGTACCTAGTCATAGGTATGACGGTGCCTGCACCGTTGCACGTGCGGCGGCGCCTCTGTGGCTATCCAGAATTCTTGTAAACAACACATGCACCGCACACCTGCATGTTGTACCTGCAGTGGCGCCTTGTTTTACTTGGATAAAACGGACGGAGCGGCCGCCGTTAAGGGAATCTCTGGCGTGGAACGGTCCACTTGTCGTATTCCGTTACTAGCTCATCCTTGACACATTTGATAATTAATTCATACAAACGAATTAATTATTATTCACAACTATAAAATGAGTTTCGGTACAATTTATAGCTCGTATTAAGTAAAATATTGTAAATTAATCTATTTAAAAAGAAGTCCTGCTGGGTTTCTTACTGGTTCTTCCCAGGACAGAGGTTTTATCTGAGCCGGTTTATAGTAGCACTAATATTGAATAAAAGTGATAATCTATTCTAAAAGCCTTTTCATGTTACTATACATCATAATAACATCCTTCATCAGAAGTGGGAATAAAGCTTTCCATTTAAGTTCTCTATATTCCAATTACCTTTCTACAAGAAGAAAAAAAAATTTACTAATTATTATCTGGTGGCAATAACACCTCTTAATTAAGTATTCACTATTGGGCCAAATAGTACCTAGATATTCAGTATTCCACCAAATAGGATAAAAGTATCCAAATAGGCCGAATACCAAATAATATTTGTTGCAAGTCTAATTTCTTTTTGTTTCGTTTTGTAGTTTAATTTTACTCTCACACTAGGATCTTCTCTCATATCATGGAGGCAGTTTACATACAAAAATTGACAAATATCCAGGACCCAGGAATAGTTATTTGTGCTTCGGGCACCAAAATTCATTCCTAAGCCACTGTTGACAGCTCCATTGCACAGTAGCTGAGCAATGAGTTGTAGCGCTGGGGGCTGTTGGTTTCAAATGAAATATATGAATTATTTTTAATGTCTGGTGTTAAAAATATGATTAACTCTTCAATTCCCAGTGTCACCTGTAGATGACAGATGTTTAACATTTTTTTTCTACCATATGATATTTTTTTTGCATCTTACTGTTATTACTACAAAGATAATTAGTCTATAAATTTATTGTAGTTTTATTTTAACACTAACTAAATGTGATTTGTAAAATTCATTCAATTCATTTGTTCGTATTTGGAAAAATGTCCACATCGTAAATATTGTTATTTTTCTTACATACTGCACATAATAAATGAATATATTAGCTATAATATTAACGCAATTTAAAAATTAAATTAATGTATACTATATTCATTACAACACTCAGAATATGACGTGTCACCTGTGGGTGGATGTAGAGGTGGATGGTATTTTGGAGCATCTTTAGTTTTACGGGTTGACGTTAGATGAGTTTGCTGAAGAGTTGCAAGTCGGGGAGGACCCAGGGAATATTATTTTATTTCCTCCTGATGATGGTAAGGTAACTGACGAAGACAATGGGGATGAAAACGAGGCAAATATTCTTTATTTTCCTAATTGTATGCTTCAGTCTCAAGTAGAACTACAAAGTAGACCTTCTGACTCTGAAAAAATTGTGTAAATGACGACGAACTAGAAGAAAAAAAGTCAAGGTTTCTACACCAAAGACAAATATAAAAAAGGAAATACTATAAAAAGATGTGTTGATGTACCATCTTTCTACTACTTGTGGTAAAGAATACTGTAACAGAAGTTTGCCCTCAAGATTCAGTCAGATATGGGCCTAGGAGCTGCGGTTATTTTGGAACTCCTCTCCAGATTATCAAAAGAATTAGGACAGTAAAAACTATTTTACTGGCTTACCATTACTAAAGTATTTGCGAGAGCAATATGTTAGGACATTATTGCAGCTAAATAAATAGCATGACAACAGTATCACCACCATTGCACCGAACTGCCACGGTTTGAGTCTCATCACAAAAGTAGATCATATTGTAAATGTAAATAAAAAGTGATCAAAAATTAGAGTGGTTCGCCCAGCTATTATTAGGACGTAATAGGAATACAGGTAGAGTAAACCATTTTGACTTTGTGGAAAAAAGTAGTGGTATCCTGTTTGCTTTTGATATAGACGCTGCTTGCCAAAATAACTGGACTGTGATTTTCACAGAAACGTTGCTACTGTGATTATGCCTGTGGAGTTCCAGTCCAGATTAGAGTGCATAGCCTGCAGGTATCGCCAATGACCATGTAGACCATGTTCGTTCGCAGCAACAATGTGGATATTGTCATCAACAAATGCAAAAAATGTGCACCAAGTACCATATCATTTTGCATCTAAAGTTATAGTATATGTTTCATGGTAATAAAACGCTTCTTTCTTGTGTCAATAAATCTTTCTTTTATAAAAACGGATGCTTTATCCCTACAGAAAGAAAACTTAAATTTTAATTTTAACATTGGTAGAGTCACGCGGCAGCTTTTGCTGTCGCACGGATGGGCCGGCTCGAACCGGGGTAGTACCACGACCTCACAGAAAACCAGCGTGAAGTAGAGGTTTACCTCTGCGTTTCGCTTGGTGAGTGCAGGTGGCCGGAGGCCCTTTTTACTGGAAATGAGGCATTCCATCTTAGTCCTCACGGGTGACAACGCATCTACATTTTGATTTGTAACAGAGGATAGATGTAGATGTCTATGGGCCGCAGCAACCACTTACCATCAGGTGGACTGTGTGCTCGTTTGTCACCCTTATCCTATAAAAAAAAAAAAATGAGCTGTTTAAACAATGCCCAGTGTCACCTGTAGGTGACACCGCTATAAAAAATAAGTGGGGGTAGTTGCCTTATTTTTATAATTTTTTTTGGTCTATACTAAATATATCTGGACCTTATAATAAAAGAAAGTATTATTTTTTTGATAAACATAGGCATGGGAATTAAAGAGTTAACCCACGGTCTATAGAAGAAATGATAATTTTCTAGCCTTTCCCATAGTTACCTCTTCTTATCTCACCCATGAAATGAATCATATTGATAAATTCTTTATGCTGCTACTACCAATGGCAATACATAGTCTACTACAGTCTGTTTACAGAATGAGTTGGGGGACCATGATGTTACATTATTTAATTATTGTCATGTCTTTGCATATTTGTCAGGAGTGATGTCGCCTAGGTGGGATTTAATAATGTGGCATTAATTAAATTTAAGATAATCAAAGACCATTTATTATATCAATTTCTCTTCTTTTTTTTTAATTTGTCAAAGTTCTTCAGATAACATAGCCTAGGTCACTTCTAGCATTACTCTCTTTCTGTTTGTTCAGTTCAGCCAGTTTTTTCATTCACAGAAATAGTTTCTATATAAACAAGCATTAAATTATCTCTAAAATAAGTTTTGTTTATAAAAAGTAAACACAAATAATATAATATTTCTACTCTGTTAAGTTGGCACTGAATACTTACTCCCTTAGCTAATCTTTTTTGAAGAAAAGCAGAATGGCTTCCTGGTCCCCTGCCATACATTGCATTTGGAAACTTTGCTTTAAGTTTAGCTTCCTCCATCTTTTCCAATTCTTTTGGCTGAAATAATGTAATAACTTGTTTTAGGCGTAGGATACAAATTATATGCAGTGTATAAGTTTATAAAAAAAAGTTGAACTTACATCATTTGCGGAATCATTCTGATCAGGTGTATCACTCATTTTTGAAAACTGAAAAATAAAGTAGTGTTTATGAGCATAGAACAAGTTAAGGTTGTGCCACATTTGCATATAACACAAGTAAGAAAACGAAGTTAATCACATGTACACAAAAAATATATATTATGTGAAGCGAATACTTCATGTTGTGAAGTGTTAGAATTCGTTGTTAGTTTTGTTTACCCTCATATTTATAAATTTGCAACTACAGTTTAACACTACGTAACTGCTATTGTAGTCCATTTGCAATATGGTAATCGCGAAAACACGTAAATATAATATAGTTAATAAAAAACAAAATATTTGCACATGGCTTTAAAAAATTGAAACATAACATTTGTTAAACGTTGTAAACGATTTTGATTAAAAATTGTTTACCTGAAATCCGTCAATGTTTTACAAAAAATTAAAAATTTCAAAGATTAAAATTACGGAAATACTAAGAGAAAATACTACACCAGTTCAATTACACAATCAGCCGAAAATGTCGTCAAAATAAACCAACTTTTCACTCCTACTTTTCTTTGCTTCACTACTGTACATCAAAAATGGCGTTTCGATTTCGAATTCGAAGTTCGAAGCAGTTCGAAGTTCGAACCAAAACCAAAAAGATTATTACTGTTACAATTTGACAATAAAGGCAATCAAAGCTCGTAGATCATACAGCCTAGTCAGACGGTATTTTATTCACAACTTTGCGAAGTTTTCGCGAGTTTAAGGACAACAGCTTAACTCAGCGAATAAAGAATAATGTCATTATTTCTAGCCGCCTACGCAAACAAAAAAAAAATTAGTGTCTCATAATCAATTTCAAACGACAGAACAGGAGAAACAATCCAACGAGAAGACTGTCGAATTCCTGTCGAATCGGCAAATGGATTAACCAGTGTTGCCGTTAGGACAATCTAGTTTGTGGCTAACCTAAAAAAAAGACCAAATGCTATTAAAACATAAACACACACCTGTCTGTGTAGACTTCTATTTGTCACGATCCTGACACACCTCTCTCGCCTCCTTTACATCCTATACCTACACATACATGCTCGTCGGTTAAGGACACTCTTAATTTGGCCCATTTTCAATATATCGCCAATTTGGTCGACAAACTTCTTTAATCACATAATTTCTCACCATGCCATTCAGATAGAGCCCTAACATAATCCTTAATGCCCGCATTTCTACAGCATTTATTCTACTCTAGTGTTTCTTCTATCACACCTAACTTTCACTACCATACGTTAAAGTGGGGACTAACACAGCCTTTATGGACACATTCTGACTTTCCACAATAGGGTGTAGAGCCCAATTTACTCTATTTCTTGCATTCACTCGTCGTTCATATCCATATAATGTCTACCATCCCTGCTTAATACACATCCCAAATACACAAAAGCCTTCTATTATTATTTCACATATCGTTTTACTTTATTCTCTTTCAGATGCTTTCTTTTAATGATATGGTTATTAATGTGGCCATCATTTGTAACTCGGCCGCTTACGATGCAATCATTGATAATCGGCGTACAAAAGGCATTTAACGATTTCATCCATCCTTAACCCACATTCTTCCACTTTCAAAGTTTCCGAACAACCGTCGCAACAAAACGCAACGTTCAAAAACTTCTCTGCAATCATGCGCATGGAAAAGACTTCATTCGTACATCACATTACCTTTCTTAATTCAGCTTGCACATGCCAAATTTTTCCATCAGTTTCTTTCAAAACTCTTTCAATTAGTACCTTAGCATACAGTTTTCCCTCAGTGCTGAGAAGGCTGATACCACGCTTGTTTTTACAGTCCTGCTGCTATCCTTTTCCTTTATATAATATGTAACAAAAACCCTGTGCTTTCCGTTAAGTACGGTATGAGGATCATTATACAAACGTATAGAAGTAACTTTTTTTTAAAAACTCGAACAATATTTTTTACTTTATTTAAAAAATAATTGTATGCAAATTGTATTATTTTTTTATTTTATTTTTATTTGCTTGGAAAACTTACAGCTAATTTACAAAAATAATATAATTATAACAAAAATGAAGGCCATTTACAAGTTTTCACTTATATAATACTTTATATGACAAGAGTGTGTCAGAAGAGATATAGTAACAGTATACTTAAATATAAATTACATTATCAAAAAGAAAAGAAGTTGTTAGAAAGTAAACGCCTAAGTTGGATAACGCTGGAATGAAATAAATCAATATCCACATTGTGAGTATATGCTGTAGCATTAAAAGATCTGCATGATCGAATAATAAAAGAGTTTTTCCTGTAATTACTTTTCACGCATGGTACATATAAAAGTGTAGGTTTCCGCAAACCAGATGATGAGGTGTGTAAACCTATTTTACTTAATAGTTCAGGACAATCAATATTACCATTCATAATTTTAAAGAGGAAGGAGAGATCTGCAATATTTCTACGCTCATATAAAGGTAATATGTGATTTTTTTTACATCGAAGAGTATAGCTGGGTATAAACTTTTTTGATTTAAATTGAAGAAAACGCAAAAATCTTTTTTGTATGCGCTCTATCCTATCCACATATTCATTATATTTTGGATTCCAAATTTCAGAACCATATTCCAAATGGCTGCATACAAAAGCGCAATATAGAATTTTGAAGGTTTTTATGCTTTTAAAATCTGCCGATAACCTTAATATGAAACCCAGCGCTTTGTTAGCCTTTGTAACGATGTTATCAACGTGATTGTCAAACAGCAATTTAGAGTCAAAAGTAACACCGAGATCTTTGATAGTGCTGGTTCTATTTATAGAAATATGGTTTAATTTATAATTATAAATTATAGGATTAGGTTTACGAGTAAATGAGCAGATAAAACATTTGGAAACATTCAGATCGAGTTTATTGTTAGAACAGTATGCTTCTAAATTGAAGAGATCCTTTTGAAGGCTAGAACAACTTTCCAAACTTGTAATAGGACATAAGATTTTCATATCGTCAGCGTAAAGAATAATCTTGGAATTTTTAAAACACGTGTCGATATCATTGATAAAAATTAAGAAGAGCAAGGGCCCCAATAGGGATCCTTGTGGTACGCCAGACGATATATGGATTGCAGACGAACGATATCCACCAAGGACGACAGATTGACTTCGATTTCTGATGTATGACGTAAACCATCGGAATAAGTCACCCCTGATACCCATTGCAAGGAGTTTACGTAAAAGAATTAAATGATCGATTCTGTCGAATGCTTTGCAGTAGTCTGTATAGACTACATCTACTTGTGCTGGTTTAGACATAAAGCTAGTTAGATAGTCGGAACAAATAACAAGGTTTGACACGGTAGATCTGTTTTTTAAGAAACCATGTTGATTTTCACTAAATGAGTGGCGAAGGGAAGAGTACACCTGGTTGTAAATTATTTTTTCAAGTACTTTAGCGAATAAACAGAGCTTGGAAATGGGACGATAGTTTTGTACCTCATCCTTAGGTCCTTTTTTGTAAATTGGAGTAATAAACGCACTTTTCCAAATATTTGGAAAAATGCCTTCCTTTAAGGAACGGCGGTACAGAATACTCAGAGGCAAAGTAAAAGAGTCCGCACACCGTATGATTAAGATAGCCGGGATACCATCTGGTCCAGCAGACTTGTACAGATCTATAGCCTTTAAAAGTCTGGATACCTCTGCTTCTTGCACCTCGATGGAACTGATATCAATAGAAGATTGATCAATTTGCGAGTCAATAATATTAAAATTAATTGTGTCGGAATCGTTAAGAAAATTAGATTTAAAAAACTGATTGAAAAAATCACAAATTACTTCACCTTTGCCTGAAGAATACTGTCTGAATTTCATAATAGAAGGATATGAACTTGGAGATTTTTTACTCTTAACAAAGTTCCAGAAGGCTTTCGGTGATTTGCTTATATTATTTTCTATATCACGAATGTAAGCTTCGTACATACTTTTTTCAAGAACCTTCCCACGTTCTCGTAATAAAACAAAAGAATCAAGGTCGGAAGTATTTCCATATTTTTTATACTTTGAGTGATACTTAAATTTTTCTTTTAAGATTTTAATCAAGGGTGTTTTATACCAGGGAGGAAATCTGGAAGATGATTTTACAGTTTTGCAAGGGACATGTTTGTTAATTAGCATTTGTAACTTATCATACAGTAAGGATACAGCCTCCTCTAAAGAACCCATTCTGAGGCAACTGGACCAGTCCGTATTATCAAGTTGTTGACATATTTTAGTGTAATCTGCAAAATTATACAGGAATTTTGTTCTGGTTTGCGGTGAAAGCGTATTTTGGTGGATGAAGTCAACAGATATACATAGTGCTATGTGATGAGGATCTTCCGAAACTAAAGGGTCTATACATTTATGAACATTTATAAAATTGTTGCAGAAAATTAGATCCAGAATTCTGTTGTTACAGTTTAGTTGACTGTTATATTGAGATAAGGAACATAAATTAAGAGTATCAAAAAAATCCGATTGAATGGGACCTTGAATATTAAAAGGGCATTGAGATTGCCCATCGTCAGCTGGCTGCCATATTATATTCGGCAAATTAAAATCGCCTAAAAGTAAAAAACCATCTGCCAAGTTATTTAACACAATATCATTTAATTTAGTGGAAAAACATTGTAATTGCTGTATTAAGGAATTACCTAAGTTTTGACAGCATATATAAACAAGACAAATATTTAATTTGTAACACAAATTAGGCGATGTACGTTTTAGGGTCAGAGTAATCCATATGTCCTCAGCTGATGAACGCCATTCACTGCGTTCAAAATTTATAAGCTCTCGTCGAACAGCTATGAGGACACCACCCCCCATGGTTTGACCTGTATCAGAATAATTCCTATCACGCCTCCAAACTAGATATCGGTCGTCAAATAATTCTGTGTCATTGAAGTCCTCATTAAGCCAAGTTTCCGTTAAGCATATTAAGTCGTAATTATTCATTACGATATTCCTATATATAGTTGCTACTTTAGTCCGTAAGCCCCGGACGTTTTGGTAGTATATATTATATTTTTTTTATGTGAGTGTTTTCTTAACAGGATAAGCACTAAAATAACGCGGTAGGTAATAGTAGCAACTACAAATAACTTACGTTGAGGTATATTAGAAAATAATCTACTATTCATTAGGAGAATGCATAAATATTTCACGATATGAGCATACAAATAATACACATAAGTATAAGCAACGACCCGCGAGCAATGAAGTAAAAGTTTTAGTGGAGTAATAATAGTTAATCTCTTACACTCTGAAACTGATGCTAAGATATGACATATATGAAATTTATAGTAAATGTATATTGTGTACCCTAAACGGCAGAGCAAATGATTACCTATTACAGTTACCACGGTGCAAGAGTTACTGTAGGTTAATATAAGTATTATTAACTTAGTGAATAATATACAAAGCACACAAAAATAATTCATATATGCGTATACATAATAATAAACAATTATTCGTAATCTATAAAACAAATAACATAGCACAAATATAACATGCGAAATGAAATAAAATGCGGAATGCAAAAATCTAGGATATGCGAAAGAAA